GAGGAGGGAGGAAGAGAAGGAGAAGGGAGGAGGAGGAGGAGGAGGAGGAGGAGGAGGAGAAGAAGAAAGAGGAGGAGGCAGGAGGACGAGGAAAGAAATAGGAGGACGGAGAAGGAGAGGACAAGGTTTGCAGAGGTGGGGGTGAGCAGGAGTAGGGGTGGAGGGCGGAAGGCGGCGATGAGGAGGACAGGCGCAAGGAGCAAGGACGACGACGTCCCTGCCTCCTCTGCGCCGACCCGGCGCCAAAGAAGCGAGGGGGGGCAGCGAGCACAGGATGGGACGCAAAAAACGACTGCGCCTGCTCGTGCGGACTGGTTTTCCCCAACAAGCTGTGGTGGAAAGGCCCCAGCCCCAACTCGAGGGGAGACCTGTGGAATCTCTGGTGTAAAGTGGCCCGGAAGCACCTGGTGACGGCACAAGAGAGCTTCCCCGCAGGCGAGCTCGTGAAAGAGTGGGTGGACAAGATGAAGAAGGACTTCGGCGTGGACTACGAAAAGTGGCCCGACATCGGGTGCAAGGCAAAGTTCCATCCGTACAAGCGTGGGCCGTCTATGGTGGTGGAGCTCAAGGTAGGAGACAAGTGGGAAGCGTTTGTAACACAAAGACTGCCGCAGAAGCTCGACGACGCCATCACATAGAACCACTACAAGTTCTACGACGCGGCCAAGAAGATGAGCCCAGAGGAGCTGCACGAGCTGATCCCACAGTCCTTCCCGATGACTCACCAAGTGGGGGGCTGCAAGCCGATCGCAAAGTACCCAGTGGACATGTGGAAAACTGCAGGAAGTAGATTCTTCTCTACGCGCAGCTGGTGCGAGCTGGCGCTGCGGATCTCGAAGAACGACGCGGAGAACCTACACAGCGCCATGGAGGCAGCCATGAGGGAGATGAAGGATGAGACGAATCTCGACCAGGAGGTCGAGAGGCTCAAGAAACGTCAGCAGCTCCGCGACAGCACGGAGACCCCGCTGGACGGCACAGAGATGTTCGAGAAGTATGCCATGTCAGGTGAAGCGACCAGCCCCAACGGCCACGCGCAAGAGAGCCCACCTACAGCGCCAAGAAGAGCACTAGCGGGGATATCTCGGAATGTGACTTTAGGCATGCAAGACGGGCTCAGAAGGACCATGACTAGCGGGGACATTTCGGCGTGAGGACCCTTAGGAGAGAGCTCGCGCAAATAACGCCTTGCAAAGTGTTTTTGGGGAGCACCGACAGGTACACTACTACACGGGACGACGAGTGGAAAACGAGACCACCATAAAGGCCACTGGAGCGCATCCCTAAGGGCCCCTCCTCATTCGAATCGACGGTGATACGAATGGCTGACAAATTGGGGTCGAAAACATCTCACACGCCGTGACAACCATAGGTATGCCCGCCCCTACATATACGCCGAACCGAGGGGTCCATCAAAGTACAAGTGGAGTAAGACTGCAAAGAATCAGGGTCCAGACACGACATTGCATGGGACAACCAACGGCCCGCACGTCCAGGAAGAGAAGCGAGCGTGTATATATATATATATATATATATACTAGAACCACGCGCGCGCTTCGCGCGCGCTTAGGTTCTGTCGAGTCACAGACCCAGGAATCGTTGTGAGAAGAAATTGGTGACGCGAAGCGTCGTGGGGGCGTCCTTGGACGTCTGGGGTCTCCTGGGGCCTCTTGAGGGGCCTCCTGGGGGCCTCCTGGCGGCCTCTTGGGGCGGAAGGCTCGAGCTTGCGGTTCGTGGTCCCCCTCTGGGCCCCCTCTTGGGCCCGTCTTGGGGCCCTCTTGGGCCATCTTGGGCGCCTCTTGGGCCGTCTTGGGGCCCTCTTGGGCTGTCCTGGGGCCCTCTTGGAAGCTTCTTGGGCCGTCTTGGGGCGGTCTTGGGCGCCTCTTGGGCCGTCCTGTAACGTCGGAAAATCCAAAAGACAACTTTGTTGAACATGTACGTTTTACGAAGGGAATGGGCCAATTCTTGCGTCTAGGGGCCCTCTTGGGACGCATGTTGGAGGCTTCTTGGGGCCTCTTGGGGGCGTCCTTGGACGTCTGGGGTCTCCTGGGGCCTCTTGAGGGGCCTCCTGGGGGCCTCCTGGCGGCCTCTTGGGGCGGAAGGCTCGAGCTTGCGGTTCGTGGTCCCCCTCTGGGCCCCCTCTTGGGCCCGTCTTGGGGCCCTCTTGGGCCATCTTGGGCGCCTCTTGGGCCGTCTTGGGGCCCTCTTGGGCTGTCCTGGGGCCCTCTGGGAAGCTTCTTGGGCCGTCTTGGGGCGGTCTTGGGCGCCTCTTGGGCCGTCCTGTAACGTCGGAAAGCCCAAAAGACAACTTTGTTGAACATGTACGTTTTACGAAGGGAATGGGCCAATTTTTGCGTCTAGGGGCCCTCTTGGGACGCATGTTGGAGGCTTCTTGGGGCCTCTTGGGGGCGTCCTTGGACGTCTGGGGTCTCCTGGGGCCTCTTGAGGGGCCTCCTGGGCGGCCTCTTGGGGCGGAAGGCTCGAGCTTGCGGTTCGTGGTCCCCCTCTGGGCCCCCTCTTGGGCCCGTCTTGGGGCCCTCTTGGGCCATCTTGGGCGCCTCTTGGGCCGTCTTGGGGCCCTCTTGGGCTGTCCTGGGGCCCTCTTGGAAGCTTCTTGGGCCGTCTTGGGGCGGTCTTGGGCGCCTCTTGGGCCGTCCTGTAACGTCGGAAAGCCCAAAAGGCGACTTTGTTAAAAATGTACGTTTTACGAAGGGAATGGGCCAATTCTTGCGTCTAGGGGCCCTCTTGGGACACATGTTGGAGGCTTCTTGGAGCCTCTTGGGGGCGTCCTTGGACGTCTGGGGTCTCCCGGGGCCTCTTGAGGGGCCTCCTGGGGGCCTCCTGGCGGCCTCTTGGGGCGGAAGGCTCGAGCTTGCGGTTCGTGGTCCTCCTCTGGGCCCCCTCTTGGGCCCGTCTTGGGGCCCTCTTGGGCCATCTTGGGCGCCTCTTGGGCCGTCTTGGGGCCCTCTTGGGCTGTCCTGGGGCCCTCTTGGAAGCTTCTTGGGCCGTCTTGGGGCGGTCTTGGGCGCCTCTTGGGCCGTCCTGTAACGTCGGAAAGCCCAAAAGACAACTTTGTTGAAAATGTACGTTTTACGAAGGGAATGGGCCAATTTTTGCGTCTAGGGGCCCTCTTGGGACGCATGTTGGAGGCTTCTTGGGGCCTCTTGGGGGCGTCCTTGCATCTCGGAGCCCTCTTGGAGGCCTCTTGGAAGTTTCTTGGGCCGTCTTGGGCGCTTCTTGGGCCGTCTTGTCTGACTGGGGAGGCCTCCGGCAAGCCCCGACGAGCCTCCGGCCCCCCCGGGGTGCACATTTGCGGTCGGGGTCCCGGCCCCGGGCCCCCGGACCCGGTGCGCCGATATATGTATATAGAAAGAGAGAGAAGAAGAATAAGAAGAAGAAGAAGATGATGATGAAAGAAGAAGAAGAAGAAGAAGAAGAAGAAGAAGAAGAAGAAGAAGAAGAAGAAGAAGAAGAAGAAGAAGAAGAAGAAGAAGAAGATAAGAAAAGAGAGAGAGAGAGAGACAGAGAGAGGGAGAGACTCTGTTAGGAATGAGAAAACAGCAGGTCGTAGGCAGAATGTCATCAGCTCCCCCCCCCAGCAGAGCTTGGCACGCGAAGGCCTCCTGCATCCCCTCCTCGTCTCCTTGCGTCGAGTGAGATCGCGTCGTCGTTCTCCCCCCTCGCTTGGAAGCCCTGCTCACCCAGCGCTTCCCCACTGTCATGAGCACGCGAGAAAACCACCTCTGCTCCCCCGCACTGACCCGCAGGGACTCGTACTTAGAATGTAGCGAGCCTCTCTTACGGGGCCAACTCGGAGCTCGTCCCTTGAAGCCTCGGGGCATGCCCCCAGCCGGCCCCCATGCGAAGTCTGGGTCTGTGACACAATCTAATCGTAGGGCATTTTGCTAGTCGCACGCACAGCTCCTTTGTAGGTGTTGTCGTTGACCCCCTTCACGCGGATGTCCTTATCCTTGTCCTCCTCCTCCTCCTCATCATCATCATCATACTCCTCCTCCATGTTGCCATGTTTCCAGCATGTGAGGAAAGCTCCACGCGCGCCGTGGACCCTGCCTGGCAACTACCTTCAGATCCGCTGATGGGATACCCCGACGTCTCTGGCGAAGTCCTCTTGTGAGAGAACGTCAAGGGGGAGGGCAAACATAAAATACCCTGGGGGAGGTGCCCTTCCAACAACCTCTCCTTGGCGTGACGGCCCATGCTGGTGGGGGCCTCGCACTGGGATCGAAGCTTCACTGCTTTAGTGTTGCCAATCCCACCACACCTCCCGCAAAATGCAATCCCACGTAAAACGTGCAGGCGGGGAATCTGGGAGGGGTGGTAGCCCTACGCATTATTAGGCGAGCATGGCCACTTCATCCATGGAGCCTGGGTGTCTTTAGGCGAGTAGCGAAAACAGATCCGACACCGAAGCCCCTGGGCGGTTTCTTCAAAGACATGCTGGGCATGACCCCTCCTTGGGGGCCTATTGGTCACGCTCTTCTGGGAGGGCGGCGGCTGAGAGTCCCCCCGGAAAACTGACCGAATGGTGGCCAGTCGGGCAGAGAGGAGTCTCATCTCCTCGTCCTCGGCATCTATCTGCTCGAGGACTTGGTCTGGCAGCCGACAACTGCTCGTGGCGTCCTCGGCCACCGTGTCGGCAGACTGGTTATAGCTGAGCAGGCCCCGCCTGGGCCTCCGGGGGACTGCTTCCGCCCCCTGGGACCCACAAAAAAGCGGCCCCGGATGAGAAGAACAAAGGATTGCAAAAAAGGATTGCAAAAAAGGGTTTTTTTGCAATCCTTTTTGCAATCCAGGGTTTTTTTGCAATCCTTCGTTTTTTTGCAATCCTTGGTTTTTTTGCAATCCTTCGTTCAGGTGGGACGGGTCGAGAGATCTGGGGATCAACACCGCGAGAACGTCGTGACGTCGGAGTCTGGGGCCTGACGGCAGGAGCCGAAAGGTGAAGGCCGGCTCGGGGAGAGGGGGGGGGGGGACATCGGCCTGGAATCGAGGATGCCTTACCGATAGACCAGCGATCATACCTCTCCCCCTACCCCCTCTCTCGAGGCCGCCAGGGTGGGGTCAAAGTAGATGGGATCGACGGAGTAGGATCGCGTAAAATCGCCGATGCACCGTCGATGCATTAGCAACGTCGACAATGCGCATCGGCGAAGTGGGCGTGGAACATCGGGCTCCATATTGAGCTGCATCGCAGAGCAAAACACCCTCAGGGGTCTTGCTACGGGGTCCCACTGGAACCAAGAGCGGTCCTACGACGATGAACGAACCCTCCCGCCAGAGTGCCTCATTCACCGGACGCAAAGACTCACCCTCTCTCTCAGGTGCCACGAGTGCCCAGCGCTTGACCCCTGGAGAAAGGACTGCGCGCAAGAATAGCTTAGAACCACCAGCCAGAGAATGAGCCACGGCCAATCGGCTTGGCAGGAAAGATTTGCCCGTGGAATGTCTCCCGACCCTGGACAGTGTGTTGAGCGCAGGCCTTCCGATCAGAGTTGGAGGCGCAGGGTCTCTCGAAATCTCCAGCAGCCTGTTCTCCTTGAGGGGGGCGCTGCGCTTACAGACGGGCCCGGCCAGGACCAGCTGCATCCCTCCCTGCGGGTGGCGAGATGGGCGGTTGCTCTGTTCGACTCTTGCTGCAGAGTCGTCGGGGTGCTGCTCTACGGGCGGGTACCCCCGAGTTCGCCGTCGCAGGCACGGCTAGAGACGGTGAAGAAGACTTTGCCGTGCATGTGTGCCCTCAGAGCGTGCCGGGAACCTGCACGGCCCGAGCAGACTGCAAATAAACCTTGGTCTGCTGTGAGTCCGTGGCCATGGCCACGAGCCAGACCACCTCTCGAGCTCACCTGTGGAAGCAGGTACACGGCCGAGAAGACCTTGTACGCAGGGCCCTCGAATACGTCAAGGCCCATTGCAGAGCAGATCACTCAGGGGCAACGATAGGGGGGGGATGAGCATAGGGGGGGATGCATCAACACCCAATCGCCCATTGATCGCCAGTAGGGCCCCGATGACCCCAGCCTGTCCAGGAGGGCGCGGATCCACTGGAGGCCTATCCCCGATCTATCGGCGATGCATCGCCGATTCCAGGTCGATGCATCCCCCCCTATTGAAAAATTGAAAAATGCCCCTACCCTGGGTTACAAGTGCGTGGTCAGTAAGCATCCTGGGAGCTCCCACAGGCCAAAGAGCCGCCAGGACGCCGCGCGGCACGCGCGGTACGCAGGGTTTACACTGTCAGCCCACAGGAGGCTCAGCGCACAGCGCCTCATAAACCAGGGTAGGGGCGTTTTGTTGCCCCTTTGACCCTATGCCAGTCCCTCCTCCTCCTCCTCCTCCTCCTCCTCCTCCTCCTCCTCCTTGCCCCTGAGCCCTGTGCTCAGCGATCGCGTCTCCGCCCCCCCCCTGTGTCCAGACCAAAAAACGAAGGAGGGGGGGGGGGGCTTCCTAAGCCCCTCCCCCCTTTGAAAGGGAAGCCTGGGCTCACCTTCTGCCCCGGAGAAGGGAGGGAGGGGGGGGTAGCTTCGAAGCCCCCCCCCCTTTAGCCAGGGCCCATCCTGGCTTAGAAGCCCCTGCTGAAGGGAGGGGGGAGAGGGTAGCCTCGGAGGCTCCACCCCCCCCTTTTGGAAGGGAGGGGGGGGTAGCTTGAAGCTGGGCCCCCCTTCCCTTCTTCCCGGCGCTGCGGGCGCGCTTTATAGGTATGGAGCCCCCTCGTCGGGGGGGGGGGGCCTACGCCATCTCCGCGTCGCCGGGCAGAAGCACTCGACGACGTTGAGGACCTCGGCGCGGCGGGCGGGTGCGGGGCGCGCAGGGCGGGCCAGGAGAGGGGACGGCGAGGACAGCAGGAGGAGGGAGGGAGGGAAGAGCGAGGAGGAAGGAGGAGGAAGCGAGGAGGGAGTAGCGACAGTGGAGGTGGGAGGAGGGAGGAGCCAGGGAGGAGGAAGGAGCGAGGAGGGCGGAGGGAGGAGGGAGGAGGAACTGTAGGAAGCGGAGGAGGCGGAAGGAGAAGAGGACGAGGGCCCGCGACACGAGTCGGTGGGACAGACAGCGACGGACCGATGCATGCATGTGTAGACTCAAAGAGGACGACTGGGAGAGAGAGTCGGAGGAAGAGCAAGGTAAAGTGAGAGCGAGAGAGAGAGAGAGAACAAAAAAAAAAAAAAAAAAACTGGACAGGCAGGGAGAGAGGGCAGAGAGAGCGAGAGAGAGACGTAACGAGCATGGAGGGGACTAGGAACAGTTATCAGTAGCAGGCATGAGGAGATTGTGTTTCTATCTGCATGTTCCCCAAACTGCGTTTGCACTCAGGGATTATTACTCCTCTTCGACAGAACTGGGCCTGTGCTTCGTCCTGGCGACTGTATTGTCGCCAGCAACGCCCCGTCGCCGCCTCGTCAAAGCCCATCGTGCGGGCCTGTGCGTCGGTCTCTATGTTGTCGCCGTCGCCGCCCCGTCGCCGCCGTTAGTGTACCACATAGGTTACTTCGCATTGCGTTGCAGTGTGTTGCATTGCATGGTGTGGCGCTGGGTTTCTTCGATGTGGGTTGCGTTGCATTGCTTGGCATGGTGTTGCGTTGCTTTGTCTTGCTATGCATAGCATTGAGAGGCACTGTTCTGCCTTACTCACTTCCTCGCGCAAGTTGCCGCAGATAGATTGCACGGCATCGGTTGCACCACCTCGATGTCACCACATTTACTGCTCTACATCACGTGAACCACATAGAGTGCGCCACATTGATATTTTCGGCAAGCGCAGAAAACAATCTCGCCCTCCCCACCCTCCCCCCCTACGGAAGAGGGTTAACGTTCCCCCCTGGGGGTCTGCAATTCACACATGGTTGTGCTCACTCTTGATGCCATACGTGGGCGCACACCACGCCAGCCAGGTGAATGCTGCCCCCTTTGTCATCCCATGAGGGAAAACAGTATGCGCGCACATTCGCGTATCAAAAACCACCAGTATTCAATAAGCCTTTGCAAAATAAAGAACACGCGCGCGACGACGCGCGCGCATGCCGGAAATCATCCAAAAAAACTGGCTTCGTAAGGGTTTCAAAAAAAACAGCTGCAAAATGGTTGTGTGACGGCTGCTTTTACGCCGAACGGATCGAAACACGAGCCATGAAGGCGCACGCAAACTGGGGAATGCGTTGGGAAGCCATTGGTTGCTTAACCTGTTCAACGAATACGACCAGGCGGGCCTCTCGCGTGCGCATGTCGCAATCATTTGAACGAATTTGCGCGCGTGCTGGAGGGCACGATCACTCTCAAATAATGCCATGCGCGTCACTCGCGCGCGGTGGCCGCGCGCGCATGTCGAAATCCACTCAACACATTCATCACCGCCACGTGGACACCATCATCGTCACCAGCGTGATCAGCCTCGGCACCGTCGCTGGCCTTGTCGCCATCTGCATCGCTACCACCATCATCCTCATCACAATCACCATCATCATCATCATCACCACCATCATCATCACCATCATCACCATCATCATCATCATCATCATCATCCTCATCATCATCATCATCATCATCATCATCATCATCATCATCACCATCATCATCATCATCGTCATCATCATCATCATCATCATCATCATCATCATCATCATCATCATCATCATCATCATCATCATCATCATCGTCATTTCTGCCGTTGTCGGCGTCGCCTTGATACCGCGCCCGCCAGAACCACCGACTCGCACTGAAGTGCCCGTGCTTCAGCGCGGCCTGCGAGACGCGCTGGGAAGCGCCCCGCCCCCGACGCAGACGCGTCAGTCGCGCCAGACTACCTGGCCGCTCTGCGCGCGAGTCTGCGCGCCAGCGCGGCCGCAGCGATGTGCCAACCAGCGCCAGGCAGTCATCGCAATCGACGCCCCATGGACTGTGCCAAACACGTTGCGGGTGGATGGGTGGAATGGTTGCGCAAACTATGAAGTTCACAACTCATTGGTCACTGGTGTACTGTACTACATCGGTTCTTCTTCGCAAAACAAAAAATCTACCCCGTCCCCGCTCCGGGATTCTCGGTTCACCTTTGGATAATACGAGCTACATATGGTACGTTCCGTTTCTTCTTTAATGTCAAATTTATGCTCGTACAATCGCCAGGAAAGCTGGCAGTCCCCCCCTCATCCTTTGCAGGATAGCAGCATGCACGAACACTCGCTCATCATGAATCACCAGTTTACAAAAAGTCCGTTACAAACAAACTGGGCGAACAGCAGACAAGCGCGTCGTCGCGCCAGCATGCCGAAATCCGTCAAAAACTCTGGGGTCTCTAAAATTTCAAGATCGAATGTCCCGAAAACAGATTCTCAACAACAGAAAGCAAACGTGCCTCTCGCAGGCGCATGCAGAGAGCATTCGAACGCTTTTGCGCGCGCGCGCAAGGGGTGGCATGATCCCACTCGAACCATCCCATGCGGGCCACTGGCGCGCGTCGGCCGCGCGCGCATGTCGAAATCCACCCAACACATTCATCACCGACACGTGGCCACCATCATGGTCATCGGCGTGACCAACAGCAGCGCCGTCGTTGGCCTTCTCGTCATCATCGTCATCGCCGTCACCAACATCACTACTGTCATCATCGTCTGCCGTTGCCGACGTCGCCATGAAACCGCGCTTGCTCGAGGCACCGACTCGCACTGACGCGACCGCGTGACAGCGCGGCCTGCGAGACGCGCTGGGAAGTGCCCAGCGGTCAGCGGCACCGCGACCGCGTCGGTCGCGCCAGACTAGCTGGTCGCTTTGGCGGCGCGCCAACCAGCGCCAAGCAGCCAGCGCAATCGACGCCGCAGGGGCTGCGCAACCAAGTTGAGGGCGGGCGGGTGGGATGTTTGCACGAGCATGAGAGGTGACCACGCGCGAAGAAGGCTAGTTAATTATCCTCTCTACAAAGAGAATACATAGACTCCACCACACCCACCCCCGGGTTTATCGACCCCCCCTGTCGTGTTGCAGTGTACGTGTGATTCTGCCCCATCGCCCATCCGAAATATGAAATCAGACCATCCCAGCCCAGCCGGTGTCGACCCCCCCCCCGCCATCCTCTGCAATATGCGCACATGCTCGTTTATCAAAATCACCCGTTGTCAAGAATCCCTTGCGAGAAAAAGGACGAAGTGCACACGCGCGCGTCGTCGCGCGCGCATGCCGACATCCTTGGACAAAAAACCTTCGGTTTCGAAAGGATTTCGAAATCGAGTGTACAAAAAACCTTTTAAAAAATGGTCTCGCAACACGGATTTGGAAAACCGCCGCCGCATGGGCTTTGCAAACCTAGTTGCGGGTGGATGGTGAGACGTTTGCAAGTGCATGGGATGTGTCAACTCGCTTGATAAAATCATTTGTACCACATAGATTGCACCACATGTATTGCGTCATATCTAGCGCTTCAATTATATTGCAAAACAGAGATTGTACCACAAAGGTTGCTCTACAGATATTACAACACATAAGTTGCACACCGTAGTTTGCACATAGCAGATTGCACGACACACATTGTAAAATATAGTTTGGACACAACAGGTTGCACAACATAGGTTGCACAACATAGACTGCGAAAAAAAATATACCACCCCCCCACACCACCACTCAGAATCCCACCAGCCCTCTGGGCGTGTGGTTAAGAAAGTTTCCTCTGTCATCTTCCCTCTTCTACTTCGGGGAGGAGTTGACTCTTCCCCCTACCCTACCCCCCTGGGTCTGGACGGGAGGTTTCGCGAGGAGTTGGAGCGTCCCAGATGGCCTCAGCGACGAAGACTAACTCATTGAGTTTACAAACATGTTGGCCGCATGTTGGCCTCTTGGGGGGGGGGGGGCACAATTTAGTACGGCCCCTCCTTTGATCAAACTCCTCCAAGATGGCCCCAAGATGGCCCCCGAGGGTACCCAGGCTGCCCCAAGATGGCCACAAGAGGTGCCAAGGAGGCCCCAAGAGGCCCCCGAGAAGCTCCCAAGATACCCCTCAGAGGCTTCCAAGAGACCCCCCAAGAGGCCCCAAGAGGCCCCAAAAGGCCCCCAAAACGTCCAGGACGCCCCAAGAGGCCCCCGGGATTGTCAAGAGACCCCCACGACGCCCCAAGAGGTCTCCAAGAAGCTTACGACAAATATCCACGGAGATTCAGAGACGTAATACAGAGGCCGCTGGCCTTTCTGTTCGCCCTCCTCCTCCTCCTCCTCCTCCTCCCTCCTCCTCCCCATGTTCTCCTCCTCCTCCTCCTCCTCCTCCTCCTCCTCATCCTCCTCCTTCTCATCATCATCATCATCATCATCATCATCATCATCATCACCACCACCACCACCACCATCATCATCATCATCATCGCCACCACCAGCAGCAGCAGCAGCATCAGCATCCCTATCATAATAACACTAATAATAATTATGATAATGATGAGGATGATGATACTAGTAGTAATACTAACAATAATAATAAGAGTCATCATCATCACCACCACCAGCAGCAGCATCAGCATCATCATCGCCAACATCATCATCAGCATCAGCATCATCATCATCACCATCATCATCATCAGCATCATCATCACAAGCAGCATCATCATCAGCATCATCAGCATCAGCAGCATCATCAGCATCATCATCATCCACCTCCTCCTCATCATCATCGTCATCATAATCGTCAGCATCATCGTCGTCAGCAGCATCATAATCATCAGCATCATCATCACCATGATCATCATCATCATCAGCATCATCATCATCATCATCATCGTCGTCATCCGCATCATCATCAGCATTGACATCATCAGCATCATCAGCAGCATCATCCTCATCACCATCATCATTCACCATTCATCATTCACCATCTATCGTCATCATCTATCGTCATTCATCATTATCATCATCATCACCACCATCACCGTCACCATCGGCATCATCAGCATCATCATCAGCATCCTCGTCATCAGCATCAGCAGTATCAGCATCACCACCACCACCACAATCATCATCATCATCAACAGAATGCGCATCATCATCTTCATCACCATCATCATCATCATCTGCATCAGCATCATCATCATCACCACCATCATCATCAGCAGCATCATAATCATCATCATCATCATCACCATCATCATCAGCAGCATCATCATCACCAGCAGCATCATCATCAGCATCATCAGCATCATCATCAGCATCATCATCTGCCTCTTCCCTCATCCTGTTCCTCCTCATCAGCCTCCTTCTCCTCCCTCCATTTCCTTCCCCCTTCTCCTCCCCCTCCCCCTCTCCATACTCCTCGTCCTCCTCCTCCTCCTGCTCCTCCTCCTCCTCCTGCTCCTCCGATTCATCCTCCTCCTCCCTAGTCCTCCTCTTGCTCCTCCTCCTCCTTCTCCACGCTGTTTCCTTATGACTAACTCCTCCCTGTCGCACCCCGAAGCCAATCGGAAGGGCTGGCCGGGCGTTTAAAAACAGGCACCAGCTACATAGATGGACGGTGGTTGGTTTTCACCATGTGGTTCTCGCATTAGCGCCGCGCACATTCGTTGAGGAAACTTGCAAGAACTTCCCAGATTGAGGGCGGGTCGTTTTCAAAATGTGACTCTCGCCTTAGCGCCACGTACATTAGTTCTGACAGTTTGCAAGAGCTGCACGGATTGAGGGCGGGTGTTTTCAACCTGCGGTTCCTTCCTTGGCGCCGTGCACAGTCGTCTTAAAGTTTGCAAGGTGTTCACGGATTGCGGGCGGGTGGTTTTCAAAATGTGGCTCTCGCCTTAATGCCGTGCACATTCGTTCTACGAAACTGCAAGAGCTTGACGGATTGAGGGCGTGCGGTTTTCAAAATGTGGCTCTCGCCTGAGCACCGCGCAGATTGAGAATGATTACCTAAGCGCCGCGCACGTTCGTCCTAAAGATGCGCGAGATTGCCACTTATTCCCATGGTTCACATGCCAGAAGTGGCGTTTTGGAACGGCTCGAGGCTGTCAGGGCGCAACAGTTACGTGGATTCGCGGCGTTCAAGTCCCAGGACTGGCGTTCTGGCACGGTTCTGGACCGCCAAGACGCAGACGCGATAGTCAGATTAGCTCTTGGCGTTGAAGTCCTGGAAACTGTGTTTGGGCACGATTCCAGATTTTCACACGGCTGTCCCCCAACGGGGCACTTCCGTCAGTGGAAGTGAACCCTTGCAGGGGCATATGAAGAGGGAGCTTGGAGGGATGGAATCTTCCAACATCGTTGATGAATATTGGGTTTACGCTCCTCCTGCTGCTCTTCCTTCTCCTCCTCCCCCCGATCCTCCTCCTCCCTTCTTCTTTTTGAATAACTCCTTCCTGTCGCACCCCGAGGCCAGTCGGAAAGGCGGGCCGGGCATGTCGCATGAGACCTCCTTACTATGTACGAGTCTGAATCTCAAGAACTGGCAACAGCTCCACAAATGGAGGGCAGGTGGCTTCAAAATTGTGGCTCTCGCCTTAGCGCCGCGCACAGTCGTATAAAAAACAAGGGCTTCACGGATTGATAGCGGGTGGTCTTCAAAATGTGGCTCTCGCCTTAGCGACGCGCACAATCGTCGAGAAAAAAACAGAGTTTCACGGATTGAAGGCGTGCAGCTTTCAAAATGTGGCTCTCGCCAAAGCGCCGCGCACATTCGTCTTAAGTACATTGCAAGAGCGCCACGGATTGAGGGCGGCTACTTTTCAAAATGTCGTTGTTCGCCTTCACGCCGCGCACTTTCGTTTAAAAAATGTCCAGAAATGGTGTTTTGGAACGATTCAAGGCTGTCAGGGCGCAACAGTTACGTGGATTCGCGGCGTTTGAGTCCCAGGACTGTCGTTCTGGCACGATTCAGGACCGTCAAGACGCAACAGTCAGGTTGACTCGTGGCGTTGATGCCCTGAGAATGGTGTTTTCGGCACGCTTCAGGATTTTCACACGGTTGTCCCCCATTGGGGCCATTCCTTCAGTAAGAATGATCCCTTGTAGGGACCTAGTGCACGTAGCGCGCACGTCCACAGGTTGTGGAAGAGACCTAGTATGGGACAGTGCACTAGCGCTACGTGAAGTGCGCGCACGTGGACATGAACCCCAGGGGAATATAAAAAGGTGACCATGACCAAAGCTGAACGTGGAAACGGCAGTGCCGATCTCGGTTACCGCTCATTGTTTAGTCACCGTCAACTCGTGGATCACCCTCGCGAATCGGCGACGGCTGGCATGGACCACGACCAAGATCGGCGTCGACAAGATCTCGCGATATCTTGGTCAGGGTCGCCGTGTTCTTCGCTCGATCGAGGCACCAAGATTCTCCCCGCAACAGCCCTAACAGCAGCAGAGACGAAGAGGCGGGTCGAGGAGTGGGAGGTCGGCTAGCGAAAAAGAAAATATGCTAGGTCGGGCGTGTCCTCCTACAGGCGGATTCGACGAACAATAAAAAAACATTGAAAAAACAAAAATAAGCAACAAAATATCGAAAAACTGTCTCCTTACTTGTTTTGACTATGTTTGAATATTCCTCCTGTAGAAGAACAAGCCCGACTTGAAAATATGCAGCCGAGACCAGGGATCATGACCGTCCAAACCAAAAATGCGACATGCATTGGGGCCAGAGCACGACGCCTGAACGAAAATCGTGAATCAAAAATCCCCGGCGAAGCGGCCGCCTGGGCGGCCCAAGGCTCCCCGCCCCCCCCCCCCCCTGTGGGACTCTCCTGTGGCCCTTTCTTTGAAGGGGCCCCAGAACACACAAATAAATACACACAAATAGAAACATTCCCCACATTTTCCCATATTTTCTCAGTTTTTGCCTTCTCCCCCACTTCCCATATTTTCCCGTATTTTCTGGGGAGTCGACGATTAATTGTGTCTGTGTATTTTTTTTCCTCCTGATTCTTACCACTCATGAAACCCTCAAGCGAAACAGTGTGTTCCCCCCCCACCCCGCAGACCCAGAGCTGCGGCTGCAACCCCTCGGAGGTCACGTTCTGACCGTGCCCTGGTCCGAAGTCCGGTGTAATGCCTTTGAGCCCCGTTGAATCCCGTCTTAGCCGTTGCAATCCCTCTTAATCCGCAGCCTAATCTGGCGTAAGAGCACCCCCAAAGAAAGCTTAAAAATATTCTCGGCAATCGCCGCCTGCCTTAAACGTCTGGCTGCCGATGGCCTCCCGCACATGCCTGCCCGACCGAAACCGACCCGTCCTCCGCCGGAGAGGGGCCCCAGCCTGCCACGCGACGACGAGGCCGCCGCACACGTAGATCTTGCCTGTTTCGGCGGGGAGGGGCCGAGGGAGGAGCAGTCGGCAGGGCCCCGAGGGGGAAGGGACTCCTCCACCTCCTCATCCTCCTCCTCCTCCTTCTCCTTCTCCTTCTCCTTCGCCTTCTCCTTCTCCTCCTCCTTCTCCTCCTCCTCCTCCTCCTTCTCCTTCTCCTTCTCCTTCTCCTTCTCCTCCTCCTCATCATCATCCTCCTCATCATCCTCCTGCTTTTCGTCGTCGTCTCGATCATCATCATCATCATCATCATCATCATCATCATCATCATCATCATCATCATCATCATCATCATCATCAGCATCATCATCATCATCGTCATCATCATCATCATCCTCATCATCAGCCATCAGCCATCAGCAATCATCATTATCAGCCATCATCATCAGCCATCATCATCATCATCATCATCATCATCATCATCAGCATCATCATCATCATCATCATCATCATCGTCATCATCATCATCATCATCATCATCATCATCATCATCATCATCATCATCATCATCATCATCATCATCATCATCATCATCATCATCATCATCATCCTCATGATCATCAGCATCATCATCATCAGCAGCATCTTCATCATCAGCATCATCATCATATTCAGCAGCAGCATCATCATCAGTATCAACAACATCAACATACTCACCATCATCATCACCAACAACAACCACAACAGCAGCAACAACAACATCATTGTCATCATCAGCAGCAGCAGCATCATCACCATAATCATAAGAATCATCAGCATCATCATCATCATCATCATCATCATCATCATCATCATCATCATCATCATCATCATCATCGTCGGCATCATCATCAGCAGCATCATCGTCATCATCAGCATCAGCATCATCATTATCAGTCATCATCATCGTCATCATCACCATCATCATCCTAATCAGCATCATCGTCTTCGTCATCATCACCATCATCATGGCCACCGTCGTCATCATCATCAGCAGCATCAGTATCATCAGCATCATTGTCTCATCGTCGTCATCATCATCAGCACCATCGTCATCATCATCAGCAGCAGCATCATCTTCATCATCGTCATCGCCATCGTCATCGTCGTCGCTGTCGTCGTGGTCATCAACGTCATCATCGTCGGCATAATGACTACCAACACTACCACCACCACCCGCATCACCTCCATCTTCTTCACCACCATCATCATCATCATCATCATCATCATCATCATCACCATCATCATCACCGCCAACAGCACTGACATCATCACAACCACAGTCATACGTTTCTCCTCCTCCTCCTCCAAATTCCTTCTCCTCCTCCCCCTCCTCTGCCTCCCTCATCGTCATCCTCCTCGTCATCCTCCTCATTCCGCTCACGTCCCCTGCCGTCCCGTGCACCCCCCGCCTTCCGCAAAAGGCGGAATGGCCGAAGCCCGCTGAATCTCACCAACCGCTGCCTGAACGTCGCAGGCCCGCACCCCCCGAAGAGACCCCTGGGGCAGCCAGAGTGGCTCCCTCCGCTCATTCCGCCTCCCCTCCCACCGTTCCATCCTCCCCCTGCTTCGCACTCATCGCAGATCAACCCTGGACCACTCCGGGGGTAGCACACTTTGACCAGAAGTTCGAGGGGCAACGGCCGCGGCGCCGAGAAGCCCCCGGAGGCCCAAGATCCGCGGCCCCCCATTTGGATGCTCCCGTCGTACTTACGGACCACATCCCAGAAATAACTTCGAGCACCCAGAAAAGTGTCGAACAAGTGTCGAAAGAGTATCGCCTCCCAGGGCCCGACACGTGAAAAACCTCCAGTTTCGGTATCTTCGTTGGTGCTCGAAATTCTTTCTGGCGCTTAAGGCTACAGTAGGTTGGAACATCATAAGGTCTTGTGTTCCCTGTGTTGCTGATGTACATTGTCTCTTTCTCCTATCCAGCCTCCTTCTACTGTCTACTAGGCGACCCGCCCGACCCCCAGAGAAACACCCCGGCCCTCTGGACCCTACACACACACAGCCACGACAGCCCGAGAGGCCTCGAAGACGGCCCCGGGAGGCTCCGAGGAAGGCTTCAGGAGTCCAAGACGGCCGAGGATGGCCCCAGGTAAGACGCATCCAAGATGGCCCAGGAGGGTCCCAAGACGCCTCCGAGAGGGTCTAAACACATGTAACACAAAATACAGTTTTCCTTGTTTTTGCCTCTCCCACGTGTTGCACCCAAGACGTCCAAACGTCGCTTCAAGACGGCCCCCAGAGCCCTTGAGATTGCCCAGGACTACGCCAACGTTGCCCAAATCGCCAAGATCGCCCGAATCGCACAGGATGGCCCAACGGGGCCCCAAGAGGGCCCCAAAACGCCCCGAAGATGGGCCCCAGAGGCCTCAAGATGATAGCCCCGAGATGGCCCAAGATGGCCTGAAGACAGCCCCAGAGGCCCCCGAGCTGCCTCCGAGAAGCCCTGGGATGGCTCCAAGGCTGCCCCATCGTAACTATGACCACGTGATGGCCGCAGGGATGGCTCAGCCTGGGGCGGCATCGGCAGAGAGCAGAGCCCTCCAGAATAGAAGAAACACATACACACAAAATAATGATCTGCGGGGCGAGAGCGAACCTCTTCCGCTAAAAGCTAGAAGAAACACATGCACGCGTCGCAGCCAAGAGCGCGCAGCTTCGCGTCGGAATCGGGCTGGAGCCGGGGAGTGGGCGCGGGCGCTGGCCAGCTCAGAGGCTGCAGGGGCATGCATCGATTAACCAAACAAGGGCCCCTAACCTTTTGGGAGGGGACCACAAAAACATTAGGAGACCAAAAACATGAGGGATAGACGGTACTGTTCTGCAGATGTATCGGACCAATCCGCCCAGAATTATCATCACTCATACGAAGACGGGGACATAAATGAGGCCACGTCTTCATCGTGTTATTAGGGTTAGGGGTTCTTTTGCTCTCAAGGATGCACGACTCCTCTCTGAGGAGACGCGCGGCATGACTCGCGGAGGGGCAGCCAGAAAACGCGCGGCATGACTCGCGGGGGGGGCCAGCCGGGAGGGGGTGACGACAGGAGCCCGATTGGAGGGATGGGGAGAAGCGTTAGGTCGGGCATGTCCTCCTACAGGCGGAGTTTGGAAGAAATACATATAAAATATCTTTACAAATTACTATGATTAATACTGATACTTATTATTAGTAGTATTAGTATTACTCTTCTTATTAATACATTTTTACTATCATCAGAAAATTTGCACTCTATAACACAAGTCGGTAGAGCAGGAAAATGGTCACCTGGAAATTCCTCCTGTAATGGGACATGCCCGACTTAAGAGAAGCACGGGGTGGGGAAAGGCGCTGCGAGAGAGACGGTGGAGTCGGCACTGGGCGCGGGAAGGCGCAGTGGGAGCGCAATGGCGGACCCGCAGAGGGGTGGTCAAGCAAAAGACCAACTAAAAAAGATCACAACGACAGAACAACCTGGGGGAATATAGAAGAACAATTCCTCATTCTGAGGGTCCTCCTCGTTCCCTCCCTGCCTCCCGACACGAACCAACGCGTCCCCAGGTCCACGCGGACACCCCGCGCGCCTAACGGCGCACCCCGCGGGCGGTCGGCGCGGGAGCCGCCCGGACCTCCGGTAGACCCAATTTCCGTCTCAGGGGGAACGATAGGGGCTCAGGGGGAAACATCGGGCTTGCATCGGCGATATGTCGCCGATAGCTCGGCGATAGGACCCCTGTAGCGAAACCGCTAGGTCCTGGGTGGGGTGCGTCATCAGGCCCCTACCGGCGATGAATGAGCGTTTCGGGGTCGATGCAATCCGCCCTGAGCCTATCCCCCCCCCTCGTTACCCCCCGCTGGCACGCCCGAAAAGGGCACGGAAAACCGGAAAACATGGGCACGATGCCCAGCAGCAAATATTGCCCAGAACCAACAGCGGCCGCTGCTGGGCAGGCGATTTCGTTGCCTCAAGTTGGCGGACAATGTCCGCGGCAACACCGACAACAAGCCCTGACCAAAATGGACAGGAGAAGCTGTCGGTCTTCGTCCCCCGAGTAGTCTGGGGAGTTCCGTTCCTCAAGGTTGGGGCGTTGTGTTGAGACCGCTCCCAGCGACTCGGGGGGCCTGTTAAGCCAGCCAAGACTACTCGGGGTGTCTGCTGGGCCAGCTGGGACTACAGTCAACCCGTATCATAAGGACGCACGATAAATATGCAAGGGCCTTGGGAGGCAATCTCGAAGCTTTTCGAGCGGGGCGCGGCCAGCGAAAGTGGCCAAGGATGGACCGAGGAGGCAAGGATGCAAGGGTACCCTTGGGAAGGTTGCCTATCCTTACCATGCGGGTCGACTGTATGTACGCGGGGTGGCTTTCTGCGCGTCACGTTAGGTCGGGCATGTCCCCCTACAGGCGCATCTGGGACGAGAAATCAAAGAATGCTCCACTCCAAAAGAAACAGCAGAATGGTCGAGAGTGCTCCAAACATCGTCCCCAGACAACTGTTTTACTATGTTCGAATATCCCTCCTGTAGAGGGCCGTGCCCGACCGAAGCGGAACCAACGGCCCGGGGTGCGCTGGCGGCCCGGCGGCGCGAGAGGCGGCGGAGGCGCGCCTCCGGCCGCCGCTGCGGCGCAGCCCGCCCGCGGCGTCGGCATCGGGGGCAGCCTCTCCCTGGCGGCGCGGCCGGGCGCGCGGAGGGCGCGACCGCCGCGGCCGTCGTGGCCGTCGCCGTGGTCGTCCGCCGCCGCGGTGTTCGTCGGCGCGGTCGTCGGCGTGGTCGTCATCGTCGCCGTCGTCGCGGTCGTCGTGGTCGTCGCTGCCGACATAGTCGTGATCGTGGTCGTGGTTGTCGCGTCACCATCACCATCACCACCATCAACGGCAGCATCAGCATCATCGTCGCCATCATCAGCAGCAGCATCATCATCAGTATCATCATCATCAGCATCATCATCAGCATCGTCATCATCAGCATCATCATCGTCGTCATCACCATCAGCATCAGCATCAGCATGAGCATCATCAGAATCATCATCATCATCATCGTCGTCGTTGTCGTCGTCGTCGTTATCGTCATCAGCAGAGGCAGCAGCTAATCATTATCATCATCAGCATCATCACAACCATCATCGTTGTCGTCAGCATCATCAACATCATCATTATCGTCATGGCAGTCATCATCATCCTCAACATCATCACCATCCTCATCATCATCCTCATCATCCTCATCGGCCACGACGACCACGACGACGAAAACAGCAGCGGCGGCGGCGACGGCGACGGCGACGGCGTTGGCGGTGGCGGGCGGCGACCACTCGCTCGACGCGGGGTCGAAGCACTCCGCCGCGGCGAAGGCCGATCGCTGATCCCGCTCGCCGCCGAACACGTACACCCGGCCTCGCGGGAAGGGGGGGGGGGCAGTGCGGATGGGGAAACCAATCTGCGAGGGCTGCTGGGAGGGGCAGAAAAGGAAGAGAGGGGGGGGGCCCGCAGGGAACTAAGAACGGGCCAGGCGAAACAAAAAATCGGCATCGAGGACCGAGGATCGAGGACCGTCAGGGGGAGAAGAGTCGAGGTTGAGGGATGTAGGGCGACGTTCTGCCTCTGAGCCTCTCCCCCCCACTTTGGGACTCCTGGCTGTCGGGAACACACCTGGGGCGAAGGGCTGGCTCGAATGCACCCGTGGAAGAATCCGCGGACCGACTGTGAGCGGATTTCAACGCGACGGTGCGGAATCCGGAAAGTTACATAAAACCGAGTTCCCACAATGCAAAGTAACGGGTACCGTCGGGATAGTGCCATACCAGCCTCGAAATATCCAGCATCAAAGACACATCTTATCTGAAATCGTAATCTACAGGCCCATCACGTATGTCACGCTCGAACCTGACTGGAGAAGATTAAACGGTCGCACATGCAATGCAGCCGGCCCTCCTCACCATCTGAAGAAACACCACCAATGGAGGACCATCACCGCGGGTAGGAAGCGAACCGCACGAAGAATGTCAAGCCGAGACGCTAAAGGCCATCACCCGCGGATAGGCCAGCACGCCCACATGCTCATCAGCAAGCGCGGCAGGACAGCGAATCACAGCTGCTAACTCGTGTTAGCACTACTCCAGTCACCTTCGGCGGTTCCCAGGGCGCACGCATTCGTCGGCAACATGCAATGAGAGAGCGGGAGAAGACGAAGAAGAGGAGGAAGAAGAAGACGAGAGCGAAGGGGGGAGTGGGATAGGAGAAAAAGAAGAAGAAGAAGAAGAAGAAGAAGGCGTTGGAGAAAGAGCAAGGACAGCGCCAGCAAGTGGCCCAACCGGCTCGGCGAAGCAGAAGCATCGCGGCAGATGACCCCCATGGCGTGGCCCGAGAAGCACATGCAATCGGCGAAACGAATTCCGAAGTCGCAGCGGGGACCTGACGGATGTCCAGGCTCAACTGGGGCAAGGCGGACACCTAGCTGCGCGCCCTCGTGCCGTTTCCTGGCCCGCAAGTCGTTCTCCACCTCGATGCCGACGACGTCCATGCCCACTTGAGGATCGTCTGGGCGACAGGTGCTGTTCCCGGAGGGTTTTGCGGGACCTATCCCCACCTGGGCGAGGTTGGGCTGGGGATCTGCGACACCAGGACCGAGCTGGGATGGGGATCGTCTAGGCTGAAGTCGAGCCTGTCCCCGTACAGGGGGATTTTCGACGAAAAATGAAAAATACCCCAAAAATAATCCAAAAATAGTCCAAAAATAATATGGGGACTATTTTTAAAAAATTGTTTGACCATTTTGGACTATTTTGGAGGTATTTTTTGTTTTTCATCGAAAATCCCCCTGTAGGGGGACAGGCCCGACCTAAGCCTAGGCGACACATGCTGCTCTCGGCTGTTCCCCGAGGGCTTCGCGGGACCTATCCCCACCTGGGGGTGGGCTGGGCTGGGGAGCTGCGACGCCAAGTTGAAGTCGGGCGTGTACCCCTACAGGGGGATTCTGGGCGAAACATTGAAACTACTCCCAATAAAAACCCCAATGGGCAAACATTGTCCAAAAATCGTCCCCCGACTACTTTTGACTATTCCTGGAGAGATTCCTCCTGTAGAGGGACAGGCCCAACTCAAGGCTGGGGGGCTGCAACGCCAGGGCCGAGCTGGCATGGGCGTCGCCCGGGCGATACCCCCCGGCGGCGGCGGCGCCGCCGCCGCGCTCGCGGTGCGCCCGCGCGGCCTGGCAGAGCGGCGCAGGGACCAGAGCGCCGCGCGCGCGCGCCGGCGCGCGCGCCTCCGACGGCCACCGCCGTGCAGAAGCTGCGGGCCGTGGGCATGGGCGGCAGCGACTCCCAGGAGCCCCTCGGGCGGGCGCGCGGCGCCGGCGCCGGCGACGACGACGGGAAAGGCCTCTCCCTGGCCGCGCCTGCGCCCCTCCAAGGTGCAGACCTCTCGGCTCGTGGAAGAGCACGGCGCGACGGGCGTGCTCCGCCGTTTGTCGGCCTCTGGGGACCCTCGCCAGGCCCCGGGGCGGTCCCAAGAAGGACGGGACGCAGGAGGAAAGGCGGGTCCCGAGGAATGGGTATCGAGGCCCCCGCAGGTCGACAAGAAGGGAGAATAGGAGGAGGGCACGGAAGAGAGGCCCCGCTATCACTCGGAGGTGGATGGCTGCAGATCGCGCCCCTGCTCCTGGTCACTCTGCGAGCGCCGGCGCGTCGATTCGAGCTCCTCATCGCCTCGCGGATGCAGGGCGAGGAGAGCCTCTCGGCGGCCCTGTGGTGTGCCTCCCTGGCGGCGCCTCTCTCCCCGCGGTTCCCCTCGCCGGCGGACGGCAACCATCAGCTTGCACCGACAACGGCCAGACCGACAACGGACGAGAAACCAGTCCCGGGGAAGGGGTCCAAATCTCGGGGGGATGACGCTGTCTTGGGTGACCCAACAGGAGGCCTCCTGGATGGGGTCGGAGTAGATGGGGTCGGACGATCGCGCATCGGCGATGCATCGGCGATGTAATGCATCCGCGTCGGCATCATCATCATCATCATCAGCATCATCATCATCATCATCATCATCATCATCATCATCATCATCATCATCATCATCATCATCATCATCATCATCATCATCATCATATTCATTAGCATAAGCATCATCACCAGCATTATCATGAACATAATCATCATATGTATCAGCATCATCATCATCATAATCATCATCATCATCATCATCATCATCATCATCATCATCATCATAATGATCATCATCATCATCGTCATCATCATCATTATCGTCATCATTATCATGATTATCGGCATCATCATGAGCATCATCATCGTCGTCAACATCATCACCATCGTCATCGTCGTCGTCACCATTATCATCATCGTCATCATCATCATCATCAGCAGCACCATCATCATAATAATGTGAATCCTTGTGATCAGTGGCATCATCATCATCATCATCATCATCATCATCATCATCATCATCATCATCATCTTCATCATCATCTTGATCATCATCTTGATCATCATCATCGGCATCATCATCATCATCATCATCATCATTTACATAACCATCAGCAGCATGAGTATCCTGATCATCATGATCATCAGCGTCATCATCGTCGTCGTCGCCGGCGCCGTCAGCATCAGCATCATCATAAGCACCGTCATCACAATCATAACCATCACCATCATCATCTTCAGAATCGTTTTCATCGTCATCATCATAATAATCGTCATCATCATCATCATCATCCGCAGCCGCATCGCCATCATCATCATCACCATCAACATCAGAATCGTAATCCTCGTCAGCATCAACAGCATCCTCATCCATATTATCGTCATCAGCATCAGCAGCAGCATCATCATCAACATCATCGGCATCATCATAAGCATCATCATCACCCAATCATAAATCATCCTCATCACCATCATGATCCTCATCATCATGATCGTCGTCGTCATCATCATCATCGTCATCGTCATCATCATCATCATCATCATCATCATCATCATCATCATCATCATCATCATCATCATCATTATCATTATCGTCGTCGTCATCGTCATCGCCGTCCTCATCAGCAGCAGCACACGCAGCATCATCATCCATTCCCTTTCATCCCCCATCCTCCTCCCTCCCCCCCTCTCCATGGGACAGCTTAAGAGGGCAAAAGCCGAACCATCCCCGCTTGGCTCCCAAGTTGCACACCGATAAGTAACAGCAGCCTTGTGGACAGGCGATGAGATCGCTCGCTCGCCCCGTCCCCATCCCTCCGCCCATCCCTTTCCTCATGCCCCCCGCCTCTCCACATCTTCATCATCATCATCGTCATCATCATCATCATCATCATCAGCATCCTCATCCTCATCCTCATCTTCATCTTCTTCATCATCATCATCATCATCATCATCATCATCATCATCATCATCATCATCATCATCATCATCATCATTATTATTATTATCCTCCTCCTCATCCTCATCCTCATCCTCATCCTCATCCTCATCCTCATCCTCCTCGTCTCCTCCTCCACCCCAGCACAAGCCCCACCCCTGCTCCTCCCTTCCTCATCCCGCAGTCCCTCCATGGAGCTGCCGCTCCCACGCACTTGGGCACTAACCGGGGGGGAAGGGGCGCACGGCAGCGGAGGCCTCGACGCCACGAAGCGGTCCACCGACGCGAGCGTCGTGCGCTCGGCCTTTCGACCGCCACGCCCGCTTGCGCGCGACATGACGCTTGCGCGCAAGGCACTTGCGCGTTGCCATCGTCGTCAGCATCACCATCGTCGGCAGTATCGCCATTGTCACCAACATCAACGCCATCAGCATCGCCATCATCAGCAACATCGTCGGCATCGGTGACGGCAGCGGCACCAGCGTCACATTCATCCGAAACCACATCATAGTCATGGCTGCTGGCATCATCGCCATTCTCATCATCACCACCACCTTCGACATCCACCTCATCGACATCCACCTCATCATCATCGTCATCATCATGATCAGGATAATGATGATCATCATCAGAATCACCATAGTAATAAAATATGAAAAAACAAAAATGATAATAATAATAATAATGAGAATCATCATCGTCGTCGTCATCGGCATCATCATCATCATCATCATCATCATCATCATCATCATCGTCATCATCATCATCATCATCATCATCATCACCATCAGTATCAGAATCATCATCATCATCAACAGCAGCATCGTCATCACCATCATCATCATCATCATCATTCATCATCATCGAAATCATCGTAATCATCATCATCATACTCACCATAATCATCATCACAATCAGCAACATCATCATCATCATCATCATCATCATCATCATCATCATCATCATCATCATCGTCGTCATCCTCAGCAGCATCATATTCATCATTTTCATCATCAACATCAGCATCATCATCATCCTCATCGTCATCATCGTGATCGACCTCATCATCCTCGTCATCATTATCATCATCAAAAGCATCATCAACATCATCAGCATCATAATTGTTATTCTCAGCATCAACGTCCTTATCAATTAGCATGATCTTCACCATTATCGTCATCACTCATTATCAGCATCCGCAGCGTCTGCATCATCATCACCATCCTCATCATCATCATGAGAATCCGTGTCGTCATCATCAGCAGCAGCAGCAGAGGAAGTAGCAGCCGCAACAGGAGCAGCAGCAGCACCATCCTCAGCATTATCATCAACAACAGCAGCATCATCACGATCATCCCCATCCGCATCATCAACATCAGCAGCGTCCCCTCCGCATCGTCATCCTCACCTCCTGCTCACATTGAATCCTCCTCAGTTCCCTCATCGGCCTAAGATGTCGCTTCTCCTCCTCATCATCGGAATTTCCTGCGCAAATGCCAGGCATTTGTCGCAACACTCCAGTTTGGCCTCGCACGGGAGCAGACGGCCGCGTGCTGGAGGTACGTCGACGACCGCTTGACTGTATCGAACTTCTACTGCGAGACGCGTTTGCGAGAAGCGGTCGCTAGCGTATACCCTATCGGCTGCAGATCCTGGCCCCTCCGTCGCATGGCTTGACATGAGGCTGGACGTGACCCGCGGCGGGCTGACTTGTAACTACCGCGGGCCAGTGCTTTCGACACCTGTCGCTGTGGCGAGCTATTGGTTCCGACGGTACGTGATTGACGTGATTGGATGGACAAAGCGATCCGGAGCTTCGGGCTGAAGCATCGATAGTTTCGCCGTTTGCACTACCGCACAGCTGGATGTTTCCAGCGCTTCCACTTGGGAGCCTTCAGAACAGGGTTGCGGGCATGCGACTTCTGAGGGCTTCAAGGGCAGGTTCTGCGGTGTTTGCTTCTCACTCACTCCCATCTACCTGTTCCTCCTCATCCTCCTCATCGTCCTCCTCCTTCTCCTGTGGAGCACTGCAGCAGAATACGATTCCCGAGGCAGAACTTGCTGCGCAAGTGCTGGCCAATCGTCGCAGCACTCCCGTTTCCCCAACACGATCTGCGATGTGGGCTTGTTATGGGTTCTCCTGGACCTGTCTTGCTGTCGTCCTGGCTGCACCCCAGGCCGTGCCGCTGCCCCTTTTCCGTACACAGCTGGGCTCTAGTCTTAGGACGGGCATGTCCCCCTACAGGCCGATTTTGGAAGAAAAATAAAAAGTTGTCAACAAAATACTCCAAAATAGTTTTAAAATGGACCAAAAATAGTCCCCAGACTCATTTTCAACTATTTCTGGATATTCCTCCTGTAAAGGGACAGGCCCGACTTCACTCTAGCCCATATTTGCGACAGGTTTGAACCCCGAGTTTGCAGACCAGCGGGCGCTCAAGGATGTCTCTCGGGCCCGTGGCGCAATGCGAATCGGTCCGATCACATCGGCAGGGTCGACACGCCATCCGTCCAGTCTTGCCCAGTTCGCGCCCATCTGCCGCATCAGCATCAGGCGGCAGTGCAAGGTTCTAGTGAGTCCTCCTCTTCCTGCTCCTCTTCCTCCTCCTGCTCCTCCTGGTCCTCCTCCTGCTGCTCCTCCTCCTCCTCCTGCTCCTCCTGCTGCTCCTCTTCCTCCTCCTGCTCCTCCTGGTCCTCCTCCTGGTCCTCCTGGCCCTCCTCCTCCTGCTCCTCCTCCTCCTCCTGCTCCTCCCGGTCCTCGGGCGAGGAGAAGGGCGGGAGGGCGGGCGACCAAGCAACAGGGCACCAAAAGGGAGGGGGTGCTGGGGGAGGGCCAGGCAGGAGGGGCGGGGAGGAGGCGGGGGACGAGGGGGCGAGGGGACGACGGGGCGGGAGCGAACGTCGAGGGGGCCAGAGGGAGGGACGGGCAGTCTGAAGAGGCGACGCGGTCGCCGAAAGCTCACCCACGGCGCCCAAAAGAACGGACCATCCCCATCACGGGCTTGTGTTCCGAAGAGGGAGAGACGAGGAGGAGGAGGGAGGAGGAAGGAGGAAAGATGAGGAGGAGGAGGAGGAGGAGGAGGACGAGGAGGAGGGGGGGGAAGGGGAGGGGGAGGGGGAGGAGGAGGAGGAGGAGCGGGAGCAGGGAGCAGGGAGCAGGAAGCAGGGAGCAGGGAGCAGGGAGCAGGGAGCAGGGAGCAGGAGGAGGAGGAGGAGGAGGCGGACGAGGAGCAGGAGGAGGGAGAGGCGGAGGAGGCGGACGAGGAGCAGGAGGAGGAGGCGGAGGAGGAGGCGGAGGAGGAGGAGGAGCAGCAGAAGCAGGAGGAGGAGGAGGAAGAAGAAGAGGAAGCGGAGGAGGAGGAGGAGCAGGAGGAGGAGCAGCAGAAGGAGGAGCAGGAGGAGGAGCAGCAGGAGGAGGAGGAGGAGGGAGCCGGACGGGGCCACCGCCCCAGCAGCGGGGGGCCGCCGCGCAGCAGGCGGGCGGGCGGGCCTGCCCGCCGCACACGTAGACGTCGGGGAGCGCGGACCTGCCGCCACGGCGGGGCCGACCGGGGGGAGCGGGAGCGGGAGCGCGGCGGAGGAAGCGGTGGTGAAGGGGCCCTGGGACACACAAACAAACAGACACAAATAATAGGATTCTCCATATTTTCCCATATTTTCTGGGTTTTTGTCTTCCCCCCCACTTCCCATATTTTCCCATGTTTTCTGGGGAATCGACGATTAATTGTGTCTGTGTGTTTTTTCCTCTCCTGAGGCGGGACAGGAGCAGACGGGTCATTGCACAGGCCTTGCAGGCGTGCTGCAGCGGATTTTTGCGTGGATTTCTGCGTGGATTGTTTCCCGAAGCGGCGAGCGAAACACGAAGTGAATTTCGCGTGGATGTTTGTTGGTCTTCATTCCTGGCCAAAAAAATCCGTACGAAATTCACCTCGAAATCCGGAACGAAATGCTCCAGGACAATCTGGGCCCACCCTATCTTTCACCGATCGAAATCCATTCTGCGATGTTGGCGCCATGAGACGGGGAGGGGGAGGGAGGGGGAGGGGGAGGAGGACGCCGGGAGGCCCGCCACTGCGCAGTTCCGTACCCAGGAGGCGACCGAGGTGGATGGGCCAAGAGCCGCCCTGGCGGCACAGCTGCGGCCGCCCGATCAGCGGGCGGGCTCGTGACGCGCGCGCCCGTCTCGAGCCTCGGGAGGGGCGGCACCGGCCATAAAAGTGTGCTGCGCAGTCGTCGCCACATCGCATCGTCACGTTGGATAGTTACCCCCCCTGGGGTTTCCCGCTGGCCCCAGCTATTGTTAAGCATGCGGAGACGTCAGGCGCAGCCGGACGTGGGGTCACGACGGCGGGGCCACGTGCTGGGGAGCGACTATATCTCTTGCCCTCCTCCTCCTCCTCCTCCTCCTCCTCCTCCTCCTCCTCCTCCTCCTGCCCTCCTCCTCCTCCTCCTCCCTCTCTCTCTCGCCTCTTGCTGCCACCCAGTCGGGCTCAGGCTCTGCTCGGGGCCCTGCCCTCCCGCAGCCTGCCAGGCCACAGGAAACCCGTAGCCACGAGGCCAAGAGCCACCCTGCCGGCACAGCTGCGCCCGCCCGAGCCGCGGGCGGGCTCGTGACGAGCGCGCCCCGCTCGAGCCTCGGGGGGGGCGCGTGCGTTTTGCGCGGCATCGGCCACGAAAGCGCGCTGCGCAGCCGTGGCCGCATCGCATCGTCGTGCGAAACGATACTACCAGTCTAGGATTTCCCGTTGGTCCCACCTCTTGTTAAGAGGGAAAACTGAGAACGCACACCTAAGGTGAGAGCCCTTACCATCCTGGCAGGACGGCGCCACAATTTGCGCACAGTCGAACCAATCGTAGAAGCACGATCTACTGGCAAAACACAAAAACCTTCAGCACTGAGGACTGGCAGCTCGAGTTGCTGTCAACTTGAAGACCAAGCCCCTCCCCCTCACCTGCCCCCAACCCCTCTCGCCAGGGGGAGGGGCACCTGACAAATGTTGGCCTACCCGAACTCAAATGTCAGAGGCTGCGGCAGCACGCACGGACCCAGGCGCCGCTGCGACAGCAGACGGCTCAGAAGCGCCAGCACCTCCCCCACCTGATTCCCCAGCTGCATCAGCCCAAACACCATGTCCAGGAGCCGCCCGACCATCAGTATCCTTTTCGACGCGCGCGACAGAGACGTGCCTTGCGCTCCTGTTGCGCCGCCTGCGCCTCCTTCACCGCCGCGGATGCCTGCTCGAACACCGCTTCGGACCATGTCCTGGACACTTTTTTTTTTCGCGGAGCCCCCGTCGCCTTGGCAAGTTTCTCCTTGTCGGCGCTCGATGGCTCGTACTCTGAGTATCGTTGAACCGATCCCCATACCCAGCGGCGTGGCCTGGGCCCCAGTGGCCGATTTACCCCCTAGATGGGGATGTCCTTTCTCGTTTCGAGGGGTGTATCCCCAACTGGGGGGGTAACTTGGAGACTCGAGCTGCTTTCCATACGACGCACAGCTGGGCGTCGTTGCCGCACTTGATGATAGATGCTGATGTCGAAGAGCTTACAGAGTGGCCTCCATGTTCGCAGCCATGTCAACTTTGTACTTGCCTCTCGCAGCGCCCCCCTCCCACCTCGTACGAAAGTGCCGACATCTGCTGGGACTCCTCCGCGCCGAAGGCTGGAACAGGCCCAGTGGGGAGCGGCAGGGTACTCCCTCCCGAACCAGCAGCAGACGGAAGAGCGAGTGAGCCACCAGAACCTTTTCCACTCGAGCCAGGCTGAATCAGAGGAAGACATACTCGTACCTGATGCCTTGCCTTTGCCCTTGCCCCTGAGAAGATTCCTGGCACTATTTCCTCAGTACGAGATGTAAAATCAAAACCAACCTGTGGGGCGACACCAATACTTCGAAGCAGAAGCATCATGATGAGCACCAGGGACCCGATGAGGCTGAGTACGACAACGCTTGCACCATTTCGCACTGGGCGGGTTCTTCCTGCAGCCGCACGCCGCGCACCTTGCCAGCGTGCGACCTCGACTATGACACTGCTGCTAGCCTGCCCTTGGTGAACCACCCTCCACCCTCATTCTCACCCTCGAGCTGCTTGGCCCAACGAGTACACGAGAAGTGAGGAGCGGGTGCGGTCACAGAAGCAGGCTGCGAAAGTGAAAGTTCTTACTCGAATCGTAGCTGTATGGCGGACGAACGCCAGCGAGCTATTAGGGGCCGCAAAATCTCCCCCGCCAAATACTTAAGTTCCCTGAGCCACTGCTACGGACATGAGCCAAAATGTCTACGGATTTGATCCTCCTCCTCCTCCTCCTCCTGCTCCTCCTCCTGCCCCTCCTCTTCCTCATCCTCCTCCTCCTCCTGCTTGACCTCCTCCTCCCCCCCCCCATCCTCGCACTCGGCGTCAAAGTCGTCCCCTCCGATGTCTACGCCCTGGTAGTCCCCCATCCCCCCGCCCCCTTGCACTCGCAATCTTCAGCGGCGCCCAGGCGGTCGGCGGTCTGCTTCAGCAGCTGCCAAGCAAGTCGGCGGCGAAGGTGGTTCGGTCGCGGGCGGCTGGCGGCCAGCGGCTGGCATCCGGCGGCCAGCGACCAGCGGGGCGATGCGGCTGGCCGGCGGCCGCTGCGCTATGCGGCGGGTCGCCCCCCACCCTCCTGGCAGCGGCCGCCTGCCTTGCTCCGATCTCGACTGCGAACTGTCCACCACTTGCGGTCAATTTCCACAATTTTTCGTGAGATTAGGGGAACAAAAAGTGACATAAACATAACAACTCGGAGGTTCCGCGCGGATTTCTCGGATCGGCGCTGGACCCCCCTCCCTGGCGCGCGGAGCGCGCCAGGGGCGACGCCAGAGGCGCCGCCGGGGGGCCCCAGCGCCGATCCGAGAAATCCGCGCGGACCTCCGAGTTGTTATGTTTATGTCACTTTTTGTTCCCCTAGAGATGATGCGGGCGGGCCCACTCCACGGACACGAAAACTCCTTGATCGAGGCCGCGGACCAGGCCGATCGCGAGCTTGTGAGGGCCGACGTGCCGGCCGGTCGCGGGCGCCTCATGGCATGACGTGCTGCACGCAGGGCCGCATCCGCGAGGAGACCGAGCATAGCATTGAAATGGTCGCTCACTCGGTCGCTCATCATCATCATCATCATCATCATCATCATCATCATCATCATCATCATCATCATCATCATCATCATCATCATCATCATCATCATCATCATCACCATCATCATCACCATCATCATCATCATCATCATCATCATCATCATCATCATCATCATCATCACCACCATCATCATCATCATCATCATCATCATCATCATCCTCATCCTCATCCTCATCATCATCATCATCATCATCATCATCATCATCAGCATCAGCATCATCATCATCATCCTCATCCTCATCCTCATCCGCATCCTCATCATCATCATCATCATCATCATCCTCATCATCATCGTCATCATCATCATCATCATCATCATCATCATCATCATCATCATCATCATCATCATCAACATCAACATCATCATCATCATCATCGTCATCGTCATCGTCATCGTCATCGTCATCGTCATCGTCATCATCAGCATCAGAATCATCATCATCATCCTCATCCTCATCCTCATCATCATCATCATCAGCATCATCATCATCATCATCATCAGTATCATCATCAACATCATCATCATCATCACCATCAGCATCAGCATCATCATCGTCATAATAATCATCAGCATCATCATCATCACCACCACCACCACCATCATCATCATCATCATCATCATCAACATCATCATCAGCATCATCATAATCATCATCATCATCATCGCCACTACCACCACCACCATCATCATCATCATCAGCATCAACATCGAGATCAACATCAGCAGCAACATCAACATCAACATCGACATCAACATCGGCAGCAGCAGCATAATCATCATCAGCAGCAGTATCAGGATCCTCATCATCATCAGCAGCAACAGCAGCATTATCAAGATCAGCATCATTATCATCATCAGCAGCAGCATCAGCATTGGCATCATCATTAGCAGCATCATCATCAGCAGCATCATCAGCAGCAGCATCAGCATCACCATCATAATCTTCATCATGGTCATCAGCAGCAGCATCATCGTCCTCATCATCAGCAGCAGCATCATCATCCCCATCATCCTCATCCTCATCCTCCTGATCCTCCTCCTCATCCTCATCATCATAATCCTCATCCTCATAGTCATCATTTCATCCGAGCATCATCACCATCATCATCATCATCATCACCATCATCAGCACCAGCAGCAGCACCAGCATCCCCATCCCCATCCAACTCCTCGTCCTCCTCCTCCTTCTCCTCCTCCTCCTCCTGAGCATCAACATCATCCTCGAATGTCGCCCTCCTCCCCCCACCCCTCTCCCCCATCCTCCTCCCGGCTTTTCCATCCCCTCCTCCTCCTACTTGTCTTCATCGCCATTCCTCTTCCCCCCCCCCCTCCCCTCGTCCCCTCTATATTCCTTCACCCTCCTCAGCCGTCCGCCTCCCCTCCTCCCTTCTCGCCGCCCTCATACGCCTGATATCAAGATTACTACTCCTCCTCCTCCTCCTCCTCCTCCTCCTCCTTCTCCTCCACCTCCTCTTCCTCCTCCTCATCCTCCTCATCTTCCTCCTGTTTCATCCTCCTCCTGCGCATTACATCGTCACAAGGCTTTCCCAAGCCTGAAATGGCAGAAGTTCTGCCAAGACATGCTGTGGACGCACACCAACCATAATTTCAGGTGCAATCGGAAGATGCGCCGTACCACTCCATATCATGTGGGACTTCCCAACCTTCACGAGCAACGATTAGAAGTGTAGGAAAAACCAGGTGACCCACGGGGTATGCCTATGTTCAAGGGCACCAGCGCAGCCCTACAATCCTCATCCTGCTCAGTATCCTCTCCGCTTCCATCGTCGTCGTCCTCCCTCCCGCACCCGCTCCCCCCCCCCGCCTCTCATCCACCCCTGCCGTGTTCCCCACCCCACTCCCCTTATTTTGCCAAGGAGGCTGGGCAGACATGGTCAGGGACTGCAGCGTCCTCCGCACGCCTGGGGCGAGGCGGGAAAGGATAAAATCAAGCGGAGCAAACGAGAGCGGCAAGGGGTCCCCTCCTCCTCCTCCTCCTCCTCCTCCTCCTCTTCTTCCTCCTCCTCATCATCATCCTCCTTCTCATCGCCCTGGAAGGAGGAGGGAGGGCAGGGAGGATCGGCTGTCGAGGATGAGAAGGAGGAGGAGGAGGAGGAAGATCGGCGATCGAGCTTATTCAGCCTTCTCTCAGGACAGCCCGAGGCCTTCATGGACATCCTGACAGCGGATAAGCAAAAACAGATGCGAACGGTGGTGGGCGGTCCAGGCATTTCGCCTGGCACTCGCCTGGCACTGCCTCACAGTTATGACTGTGAGGCTTAAAAATCACAACAATGACGATAATGTTAGCCAGCGTGGACACCAAACCGCATTCTATATTGTAAAACATGTGCGCCTTTTTATCGAGGTGGAATTACAATCCGTGTGGTGTCATTTCATGCGGTGCACTCACCACATGAAGTGCAACTTACGTGATGCAAAACAATACAAAGCAACGCAAACCAATGCAACACACTGCATGTCAATGCACACTAAGCAAAACAATGCCAAGACAAATGATGTTTTACAATGCCAAACAATACAAAGTCGTGCAACACAATGCAAGACAATGCAAAGCAATGCATAGCAATGGAAATAAATTCAAATCGACGCGCAGCAACACAAAGCAACGCAAAGCAGTCCAAAACAGTGCAAATCAAAGCAAAGCAGCGCAAAACCATGCAAACCAATGCCAAAGAGTGCAAAAGGCATGCAAAGCCATGCAAAAACCATGAAAAGCCATACGCGGCAATGCAAAGCAACGCAAAGCAATGCAAAAAAAAACTGCAAAACGACAGAAAGCAGTGCGAAGCACTGCAAACCAATCCAACGCAACGCATGTCAATGCAAGTCCATGGACGGCGATAGCAGAGCAACGCAAAGCAAGGCGACTGCAGCGCAAGGCGACTGCAACGCGACAGCAGAAAAGGGGGCGGGCGCAACGGGGCGGCAGAGCGACAGACGGGAACGGGGCCGCCCGGCCCGCAGACGGGCCGAGTTCCCTGGAGCAGCAACAAGAAGAACCCCGTGAGTGCAAGCGCGGCGCTGTTGGGAACTGGAGGGCGGCGCGTCTTCTCCAAGGCGGAGACACGTCGCCGCCGCTCCGCGCACGCTCTCGTCTCCAAAGGCCCGCAGCCGTGGCTGCAAGGACGGGAGGCAGCAAGTACGTTCTCAAAAAAAAGAGGGGCTCTGGCCTTCTTTGTGGTACGCGGGCGCGCGAAAACGAGTCGAACGCCGAACAGGCCAGGGCGGGCCGCGCCGCCGCGAGGGAAAAAACAGCGAAGTGAACAGCGTCCGCCACAGAGCGGAACAGAGCGAGGCGCCGCCTAAATGGCGCGGGAGGCATCACACAAGCACCGAGAGCGCGCCCACGAGGATGCCGATTGGGACGCCGGTGCAAAATGGGAGCGCGACCACCCACATGATGAGTCAGCAGCACGACAACCCCAGGAGGGGCTCTGACCTTTTTCTTTGGTCAGCAGGCGTACGCGTGAAGCAGTCGCCGACAGGGTAGTCCGGGGCACGTGCCAGCCTGATTTACTACCGAGCCAAGCGCGAGACGGCCGGGCCAGCACTCAGAAGCGGCTGCCGGGGGGCTGCAGCTGGAGAGTGCTGGAAGAGAAGTCTGCAGACGCCCAGGGTAGATAGTGCAACTGGGCTCTGACCTTCGCGCAGCATGCAAAATCGTCTGTGAGAAGCTTGCGGCGGTCACAGGGACGGAGGGCGCGTCCTCGTCGGCGCGGGGTCTCCTCTCGTCGTGGCGACGCGCACCCCGTCGTCGGTGCAGGGCTGCGGCCGCTGCCAGGACGGAGGGCGCGTCCTCCTGAGCATACAGGGATCCCTGTACCGACCTTGCAGACGTGCTGCAGCGGGTTGGGGCGTGGATTTCTGCCAATGCAAAACCACGAAACGGCCAGTGAAGAACGAAATGAACTTCGCGCGGATGTTTCCTTAGTCTTCATTCCTGGATCAAAAAATCCGCCAGAAATTCACCTCGAAATCCGGCACGAAATTATCCAGGCCACTCCGGGCCCATCCTATCGTTTTCCGAACGGAATCCGCTCTGCGATGTTGGCGCCTGCACGGATGGAGGGCGGTTCCTCTTCAAAATGCGGCGGCCAGGCGTGCACACCGTGCGCAACAGCTACCGGGTTTGGGGGGTGCGGCTCCTTCCTTTTTCGAACAGAAGCTGTGGCTGGCTTCCTCGCGGAGCTGTACGACCACACCCTCTGGCCCATCATTACAACTAGTTTTAGGTCGCGCGTGTCCCCCTACGGCCCTACAGGCGGATTTGACGAAAAATCGAAAATACTCAAAAAATACCCCTAAAATTATGTTAAAAAAGCTGTTTGTTGAATATTCCCCCTGTAGCGGTGATGGGCCTGTTTTCCACCACCACCACCACCACCACCACCACCATAAGTTGGATGGGGAGAGAGTCCTCCTCCTCCTCCTCCTCCTCCTCCTCCTCCTCCTCCTCCTCCTCCTCCTCCTCCTCCTCCTCCTCCTGCTCCTCCTCCTCCTGCTCCTCCTCCTCCACCTCCTCCTCCTCCTCTTCATCCTCCTCCTCCTCCTTCCCCCCGCCAACTTATGGTGGTGGTGGTGGTGGGAAACAGGCCCATCAAGAGGGACAGGCCCGGCTTAAAACTGATTCGAAGGACGCAGGGCGAAGCCTCCTCAAAAAGCGGGGCTCTGGCACGCACGGCAGGTCCACCGGGTGCTCGCCTGTCAAGGGGGGCGCTTCTTTTATGGCGAATCGGCGTGCCTGGAGGGATCCGCGAAGAGGGGACTTGGGACGAGAGACTGGTCGGGTATGTCCCCCTACAGGCCGATTTTCGACGAGAAATAAAAGAATATTCGACAAAATACTCAAAAGTGGCCAAAAATAGTCAAAGCAGAACCGTCCCCAGACTATGTTTGGAACATTTTGAAGTTTCGCCCTGTAGAGGGACACGCCCGACTTAACTGTAGCACCGCCTCGTTGATGCATCATGGGGGGTCTGCTCTGGCCTTCCCTGCTCGTCCCTCCTACGCTTCCCTCACCCCATCCGCCTCCCCTCCTCCTCCTCCTCCTCCTCCTTCTCCTCCTCCTGCGTCCCTCTCTCCCTTCCATGTTATCTCCCTCCCTCCCTCCCTCGCTCGCTCCCTCCTCTCCTCTCCTCTCCCCCACATCATCAGCAACACCACCACCACCACCATCACCATTACCAGCATCCGTTACTCCTGCTCATCATCCCTCCTTCTCCCCCACGCTCGTGCTCCCCTCGTCCGCCCCCCGCCTGCACCACTGGGAACCCCGCACGCGCCTCGCGCGCTCAGGCTCGGGCGCAGGGCACGGAAGAGTGGCTCGCCTCGGGAGCCAACGGAAGTGCTGCTGCTTGAGCCTTTTGCTGCTACTGGCTGCTGCTTCGTGCACGTGCTTGCGCTTGTGCCACATGGGCAGTTCTCCTCGCCTCTCGGTGGACCTCGAGAAAGAGAGAGAGAGAGAGAGAGAGAGAGAGAAAAAAAAAAAAAAAAAAAAAAAAAAACCAACAACAAAAAGGGAGAGAGAGAGAGAGAGAGACAGCTCGTGCGCTTTGGGGGGGCTCTCCAGTACTGGGAAGGGGCTCTCTTGAGGCAGTCTAGGGCCGCCTGGGGGTGTCCAGGATGTCGCTTGGGGGCCTCTTGGTCCCTCCGTGGCGTCTTGGAGCACGCTGGGGACTCTTGCGCCGCCTCAGCGTCGTCTCGAGCTGTCTTGAAAGCCTTTGTGGGGTCGAAGGCCAATTTGACATGTTCTCTCCTCGGTCGCGGCTGGCGCGGAGGCGAGAAGCTCGCGGAGCGGAGTCCTGGAGGGGAAGCTTCTGGGGAGCAGTCCTGGTGGAGGGGACTCCGAAGAAGGCTTCCCGAGGCGGCCCTGCGTGGTGCCTCCAGGGATCTCGCGACGGCTACCCTGGGGACTCCTGCTCCTGGAAAGGTCTCCTTGGCGCGGTTCTTAGGTCCGCCACCGTGCCTCTGGGCACGGAGTGGGCGTGTCCTCAGGCCCTTTGCCTAATCCCTGGAGTTATGATGTTCCAATTACTCGAGCCTGAACCACTAGAAAGAATTTCGGGCACCAAGAAAGTACCGAAACTCGAGGACGTTCACGAATCGGGCTCTGGGAGGCGATACTCGTTCGACATTGTCTAGATACTTTTCTGAGTGCTCGAGATTATTTCCGGGGTGTGCTCCTTAAGTACGATGACAACAACATAAGCTGGAGCCCCTCGGTGGTGGACAAACCTCCCTTCAGTAAACCACCCTTTAGTGAAAACAGCCTAGGACCGAAACCGACGGACCTGGACCCGCAAAAATAACGGCTGTGACGCTCTCTCGCGGCGAACCGAAAAAGGCCAATTCACTAATCGACGTGTCAGGGTAGGAGGTCTATCCAACGCCGAGCCCCAATCAGCAGTCCTGAGGAGTATTTTGTTTATTGTTATTATTCTTATTATTATTCTTAATTTTCGCATTCTCATTATTATTATTCGTATTATTAGTATTATTATTGTTATTATTATTAGTAGTAGTAGTAGTATAATTTGTATTATTATTCTTGTTATTATTATTCGTATTATGTGTATTACTATTCTTGATATTATTATTCTTATTATTATCATTATTATTCGTATTATTCTTCTTATTATTATTCTTATTATTATTATTATTCTTTTGCTGTGTGGCGGCATCCTTGTTTCCCAACATACGTGGTGCTGCAAGTTGAAAGATTTCTCAGTGGCAATCTAAGCGGTCGCAGCCCAGACCGGGCAGCTCGACCAACAGCAGTCCCGAGGAGTCTTTACGGGGCCCGGACCCAAACTTCCGAGATCTCGTGGGGCTTCCCGCGCGCCCCATGAGCTCCGGGCGCGCCTCCCCGCGCGATTTGTCCGGGCCCGAGCGGGCCCGAGGACGGGCTCCTCCTCCCCCGCCTCCTCCTCCGCCCAGGAGGAAGAGGAGGAGGACTGAAGACTGTAAAAAGACGATGTCTTCCCAACAAGCAGACCAAGGAACGGTGAGAAGACCACGTCGGCCGTGACTCGCTGCCCGCACGAGACGGCTCGGTGCGTAGGGTGGCATGGTCCCCTGAAGCCTTCACCGTTATTTCAGGTTCCTCGGCCAGGAAAACCACGACCAACCCTGCCGAATCGAGCGGCATGCGCAACCGGACTGTACGAATACGACAAGCCCAGGGCGGGTGGACACAAGGTCCCATGGGGTTCACGGGCCACACGACCGCACCTCCCGACCAAATGCGCAATCCCCGTGCCTGGTACCCACCTCCAGGCCACGGGCGCAGCTAAGGCGCCACATGCGGACAAGCAAACTGCTTGCCGCTGGTTCCGAAAATTGGACCCGGTTGCTTCTCTCCTTGCCTGCTGCAGCGAGCAGCCCTGATAGTATGCCCTGTACGTGAAGACTGAGTACCAGGATACGGTACCCAGTGCCCACGCGTAGGGCTGGAGGAGAGGAGGAGGAGGAAGAGGAGGAGGAGGAGGAGGGGGAGGGGGAGGAGGAGGAGGGGGAGGAGGAGGAGGAGGAGGAGGAGGAGGAGGAGGAGGAGGAGGAGGAGGAGGAGGAGGAGGAGGAGGAGGGGGAGGAGGGGGAGGAGGGGGAGGAGGAGGAGGAGGAGGAGGAGGAGGAGGAGGAGGAGGAGGAGGAGGAGGAGGAAGAGTAGTAGTAGTAGGCGGAGGCCAAGAGGGCCCCGAGTCGCTGAGAGATCGTTCCAAGACGCCCAAGACAGCCTCAAGATGACCCGAGAGGCCTCCCAGACGCCCCAAGAGGCATCCAGGAGGCCTCTCAAGAGAATCTTGAAAGGCACGGATCATGGATTTTGGAATGGTTTTTACATTGTTTTAACGTTCGCGCTTTTCCGGCTTTCCGACGCTCCAAAAAAGGCTCAAGAGGCCCCCCCAAGACGGCGTATGATCGCCCCAAGACGGCCCAAGAGGCGCCCAAAACAGTCCAAGAGGGCCCCAAGACGGCCCCAAAGGGGCCTAAGAGAGTGAACACGAACCGAAAATTCTAACCATCCGCCGCAAGAGGCCCCCAGGAGGCCCCAAGAGGCGCCCAGGAGGCCCCAAGAGGCCCCCAGGAGGCCCCATGAGACCCCAAGAGGCCCCCACGAGGCCTAAAAGATGCCCCAAGGGGCCCCAAAACGGCCCCTAAGAGGCCTCCAAACTGCCTCCAAGAGGCTCCCGAGAGGCCTCCCACGAGATCCCCACGAACATCCAATCGGCTTCATACCACAACCCAGGCACGGTGGCGGGATGGGCTGAAGGCCATTCGACCCGCCGCCCCCTGTTGATGTATTACAGGGGTGCCTGGCGTGCTAAATCCTATACGGCGTGCCCCCTGGGACTTCGGCCCAGCGCGCAGGCCACGCGGAAAATGTATATGTCAATGCCTTTCTCTCCCAAAATGGCCCAACATAGACTCCAAAACACGCAGAACATCCGAGGGTACCCTCCCCAGGGGCGCACAAAAACATCCCACAAGCACGAAGAACACTAGGGTGCCCTCCCCGAACCGACCTCGATCTTATACCTCGGTCCGAATGTACATCTGCCGCGCACACACAACTTCCGTGGCGCAGCATTTCGCCGGCGACGCGGCGCGACACGGACTGGCCAACTCTAGAATCGGCGAGGACGACGACGACGACGACGGCGACGACGACGGCGACGGCGACGGCCACGGCGACGGCCACGGCGACGGCGATGGCAGCGACGGCGACGATGACTTCCGCGACGACGACCGCGACGGCCACGGCGACGGTGACCACGACGGCGACGACGACGGCAACCACAGCGGCTGCCGCGCGCGGCGGTGTGCAACGGCCACCGCCGGGGGCGCCTCCGCCGTGGGCCCGCGAGATCTCGCACAGCCTCCGCGGGGGGGGGAGAGGGCGCTGGGCGGCGGCAGGGCACTGTCCGCCTGCGTCCACACGCACACGTCTGCGGCCCTACGGCCCAGCAGGATGCGCATCCGCCCCTGCGCAGACGCATACGCCTACACGCCTACAGCCTGAGACGCCGACGCCGACGCCTATAGGCACAGTTCGTGTCGTGAGAACCGAGATCGAGTCGAAACCCAAGAAGCCCAGGGCACCCTGGAGGCAAGCAGGGCCTTTCTTGGCGTTGGGCCCCCATTCGCACCTCCCTCGTTCCGCCGTGCTTTGTTGGTTGTCTGCTATGATGTCTCCAGTGCTTCTGGGGCCGACCCCGCAGATATGCCGCCGCCAGCGAGGCCATCAGAAGCGAAAACCTAAGAACAACAAAAACGTGTCGGCTCCGAAACTAAAGACTTCAGGTCGCCTCGCAAGGCTTCAGGGCGCGCCAAGAAGTACCCGAGACGGCCCAAGACGCCCTCAAGAGCATCGCAAGACAATCCCAAGAACGCATGCTTCGGGTTCCGATACCATCAAAGGCCGCCATAGTACTGCCGCAGGAGGCATCATGACCATCCAAAGGCCGCCCAAGGAAGCCCGAAAAACTCGAAGGTCCTGCTAAGATGCTCCAAGAACAAGGGGCCCCAAGAAGCCTCACGAGGTCTCCAGAAGACGCTCAAAGAGGACTTCAGCGAAGCCCTCAGAGGCAAATCTATGCGGTTTGCTTCCGATGCTGAGCGACCTCGGGAAGATTGCTGAGAGCGCCCACAAGCTACAAAAACGGCCCAAGATGGCCCCAGGAGCGCCGCAGGACGGCCCCATGAGCACACCTGTCGGTTTCCAGGGCGGCTTCCAGGCGGCTTCAAGGCAGACAAGGACCGACCAACATAGTAGTATGACTCCCCAAGCCTACAGCGAGGCGCTTTGAGGAGAAAAGCGTCTAACACGAACACTTAGGCTGGCGAGGGACCCAATCATTCCCAGCTTCATGCGAAGTTGGTGATGTGCCGACATCGGCGGGGGAAAGCATGCAACTTTCGAACTGGAGCCGCATGTGGAGCTCCCTATGAGGCTACGAAACATGTGAGGGGTATGCCGGAATGTGCGGGGAAACCACGCAGGCCCTCCCACTGGGCCAGAGGCGGGGCTCGCACGAGTGGGTGTCGAAGCGGTCGGAAGCAGACTGTCCCACAGAGCCCATAGGCGGAGCTCCCCGGCAAGGTCCTCGTGAGAAGCGTCCCGAAAGGGGCGGCACCGCCGCGCGGACCCTCCCGCGGGGACCGCGGGTGGGGCTCCCTGTGGGGCCCCAGAGCGTGCGAGGGACGCGCAGGACGGGACAGGCCCCGCCGCAAGTCGGGGCCCACTGAGACAGTAGGTGGAGCCCCTTGTGACACTGTGCGTTTCTTGGGCTTGGGACAGAAGAATAAGGAGGAGGAGGAGGAGGAGGAGGAGGAAGAGGAGGAGGGGGGAGGAGCAGGAGGAGGAGGAGGAGGAGGAGGAGGAGGAGGAGGACGACGACGACGACGGCGAGGAGGACGAGGGGGACGACGGCCATGAGCCCCTTATGGGGCCATGAAAAGTGGGATGGGTGTGCGGCCGAAGTGTGCTGGGGGACGCTATGCGCCACCACCACCCCCACCCACACACCTGGGGCCTTCGGTGGACTTCCCTAGGTGGCCACGAGAAGCGTGCGAGCGGTGTGCCGAAACGGCATGAAGTGGGGCAGGGGCAAGGATGGGAAGAGCGAGGAGGGAGGGGGCAGCGGGAGGAGGAGTGACGCGGAGTCAAAACGAGGACCACAGGATGGTTGGGAATAACTAACCGCATGTCCTTGTTTCCGAGACTGGACGGCTTCAGATCGGCTCGAAAAAAGCTTTTGGAAACATGAAGGTATAGAGCAGGGGGGGGGGGGGGGCTACCCCAAGGCCTACACCAGGCCCTGGGGTACCCTAGGGTAGGCCCTACCCAAGGCACAAATGTAGCCTAGAGTAGGCCCTACCGAAGGTCCCGGGGTAGCTTAGGGTAGGCCCTGCCCAAGGGTCTAAGGGAAGGGCCTTGGGAAAGCCTAGAGGAAGGGCCTAGGGTAAGCCTCAGGGAAATGCCTAGGGGAAGGGCCTACGGGTAGGCCTAGGGTCAAGGCAGCCAGGTCGAGCGAGTCAAAGGCCCCGCCTGCCCCAAAATTCCCTCTCACAACACAAGAATAAATTGGGGCACCATTTGAAATTGGGATCGGAACGCCTCCACCTCGCAAACGGAAAACCTCGCGCGTGGTCCCGCTTCCAACGACTTGTCGAAGAGAAAACGACGCCGGCCACGCAAGGGCTTAGGCGGAAAAGCTTCCCATGGGCGCGGCGAAGACGAAGCATGCGCCGCGCTGACACTGCACAGCAACTTTCGCACAAAAGCTGTGCAACGTTTGGGCGAGGTCGGCAGTTCGCCCGCCAGGTGTAGTCTTGGGGGAAGAGCCTAGGGGAAGGACTTGAGCAGGCCTGGGGTAGGCCTGAGGAAAAGGCACAAGGGAAAGGCATGAGGGAAGAGCTTAGGGGAAGCGCCTCGGGGAAGGGCCCAGATGCAGTCCTGTGGTCCAGCTAGCCCCAGATCGAACGAGTCACGAGGCAGAAGGCCCCGATGAATTCCACCCTCCCTCCCACAGCACAAGAACAACTTGGGCCCCAGCTTGATCCCGAGACTGGCATGCGCCCCCACCTCGCAAAAACGGACGGGACACGGGCGCGGCCCCGCTGCCGACGACTCGGCGAAGAGAACACGACGCGGGCCACACGCGGCGGCGGAGGCGCCAAAACTTCCAACCGGCGCGCGGACGACGAAAGCGCACGCCGCGGCGAGGCAGCATCGTCACCTTCGCTCACACGCTGGCGAAAAGCAGACTGCACGGGCCGTGCAGGGCCAGAGGCAGCAAAAAACTCCACGTGGGCACGGCGAAGACGAGGCATGCGCCGCGCTGGCACGGCACTGTCGCTGTCACTCAAGCGCTGCGCGGCGTTGGGGCGAGGTCGGCACTCCCTCCGCCTGGCCTCGCGCGGCCCCGCGGCCCCTGTCGAGTTCGTGCGCTTCGGCGAGGGAAGCAGGCGCCGCGCCCGCGCTGGCACGACGCTTCCGAGGAACATGCGCACGGAGCTTGGGCGCGGGCGACAGGTCGCCCACTCGAGCACCCTCGGCGAGTGACAGACGTGGGCCGCGTCAGTGCTGGAACGCCACTTTCGGGCGAAACGTGGACGGCGCCGAGGCAAGAGCGGCAATCTGCCTCGCTCGCGCGCCGACGCACATGCAAGCGGAGAGGGTGCGCCGCGCCCGAGCGGGAGCCCAATTCTCTTGAGAAGTGAACACGGCGCCAGGCGAGAGCGACGTTTCGGCTTTTCGCTCGGGATGTGCGCCCCGGTGCACTCCTGCCACGCATTTTGCAACATGGACGACAGAACGTCGACTTCGCATTGTTTGTCTAACAATTGGTATGGGAGGGCGCGGAGAGGGCGCGGATCCGGGGTCTATCGGCCAGCTGCGGTGGAGGTGGGGGGGTTCACCAGTAACGGAAAAGGATTGACCTAGGGGAAGGGCCTGGGGACAGGCCTGGGGAAGGCCTTCTCCCTGGGCTCTGTAAGCACGAAGCCCCCAGAAACCCCCAAGACGGCCAATATTTGCTTCAAGACCTCCCAGATGACCCCAGATGAACCCGCCCACACTGCACAGGATGGCTCCAGGACGAGCCCAAGACCCTCCCAGACGTGGGTCTCAAAATCAAGATCCTTCCTGCTGCGCCGCTACCATTGACAACCCGCCCAAGAGCTCCTCAACTAATCACCAAAATGGTCTAGGTCCAAGGGGCCCTCAATAAACCCCATAGAAGCCCCAGAAACCTCCAGGATATAACGAGAATGCGAACAAAAAGTGTGCTACAAGAGCCGCACCGATTGAAACATCGAGCTCGACGACGACTACGCGCGTCATCGCCCAGGCCCACCCGTCCTCCGCGCCATCGCGATGCCCGCCATGCGGCCGATGATGCTGGAGACCTCGACAGGGGCGCGCTGCTGAGGGGGAGACAAGGGGCGGGACGGGGAGGCGGGACCGGAGGAGGAGGGGGGGAAAGGGGGAGGGCAGGGAGAGAAGGGCAAGAGGAGGACGACAGCAGGAGTGGGAGGAGGAGGGAGGAGGGCAAAAAGGAGGAGGGGGGAGGGAGAGGCGGGAGGGCAGAAGGAGGACTCCCACGTGATCCCGCTGAGACGGCATGCGGACGCCTCGGACGCGGCTCCCTCTTCCAGCAAGGTAAAAAGGTGCCGCGGCCCACAAAGGGCTCTGAAGCGACCCTGCCGGGACGGTTCTGGACAACGAACCGACAGCGCTGGAGGGAGGGCGCGGGGAGAAGTTCGCGTGAGGAGGCTCCTCCTTGGCAGGCGGCAGCTCAGGTACTCTCCGCGCTGTGGGGGGGGGCCTGGGCCCTCAGGAGGGAAGAGGAAGAGGGCCAGAGGAAGAGGAGGGGGGGGGAAAGGTCACGTTGCGCGCAAACGGCCGCTGATGCGCCCCGATGGATTACCCGCATGCCAGGAGGAATCTAAAACGAGAGTTGCCCATGATGATTACATATGTGCTAAAGAACACGCTGAGGAAGACAGGGAGGAGGTGGATGACGATGAGGGGAAGTGCGAAAGGAGCGGGGGCAGGCCATCGTCTGGATAACGGCGCAAAGGGACGTCGCAGGCCCTCATCCACCTCCCCCTCTCCCCCCCTTTTCGTTGCCGTTTTGGCTCAAAACCGTTTGGGCTCAAACGTTCGCACGGCCATGATGATTCGAGCGGCCTTTGGCGCAGGCCATTTCTGGCCTGCGCCCCTTCGGTCTCCACATGAGCGCCATGGGCGGCCTGTCTGGGGCTCGAGGCGAACCAGCTGCGCTGCCAGCCCATGCCCTCGCGACGGCAGGCGAGTGCGCGGCGATCGCTGCGCGCGCGCTGCGAGTTTCCTCGACGGACACGCGATGAGCCTCTGCCGTCCTACTCCCCTCCCTTCCTCCGTGCGACCTCCTTCCATCTTCCTTCCTCGCCCTCCACCTCCTCCCCCTCTCCCTCGTTCCTCCCCCTCCCCCTCTTCCTCCTCCTCCTCCTCCTCCTCCTCCTCCTCCTCCTCCTCCCCCTCCTCCTCCTAGTATGAGTATTCCTACTACTACTACTACCACTACTACTACTACTACTACTACTACTACTACTACTACTACTACTACCAGTACTACTACTACTACTACAACCACTACTCCTACTGGTACTACTACTACTACTACTACTACTACTACTACTACTACTACTACTACTAACACTACTACTACTACTACGACTACGACTACGACTACGACTACGACTACGACTACGACTACGACTACGACTACGACTTCGTCTACGACTACGACTACGACTACGACTACGACCACTACTACTACTACTACTACTACTACTACTACTACTACTACGACTACTGCTACTACTACTACCACTA